TTTTGTCCTTTATCCGAATATCTCGGATTTAAATATGATCATGTCATATCTAGGCCACTTGGTCTATCCACGTGGCAGCTAGGCTAACAACCTTGACCACGTGGACAACCCAAAAAATATGTCCCCACAAGTATGGCCCCTAGGTTCTATTACCTCGGCAACTTGAGGTGATGGAACTTATATCGTCTGATCTTCTATCATGTCAGCTAAACAACATGCTAGAGATACTCCTCGGACCGAGATCATGACTCGTCGACGTTAAGAAACAAGGAGTCAAGTGTCCACTCATCAAGAATCAAGAACCAATATGTTCTTTCATTTAAGATCAATATCTCAACCGAGATTGCACTACTAGCCGAGATCGTAACTCGCTAGTTCAAGAACATTAAGATTCGAAATCTGTCGTTTCAACTGTCATATCAACATCATAACGTGTCACCTCTTCATTGGTTCCCAATACGTCCCATAATTGACACATGCTGCCCCATTAGACGTCACCTAACATCAGCTATCACACGTCTCCTAAGAAGTTTGAATCATTACAATCTGTCAGTTCTTTCCATTCTAGCAAAACCTTTTCACTTTCCCATTCCGTCTTTCTTGGTGTCCCCAAACTCTCTATCTCTTGGTCTTTGTAAACCATCATCGTTGTTCTTGAAGCATTCATTACTATGAATACTCCATTTGTGCCCAAGGTTCAAACTCTACCAGCTGAACTAGACTAGCAACCAAGCACTTCATCAGCTGCTCCACACATCAACCCACCATTTCAATGGCAGTGCAAACATCGACATAGCGACAATCTTGCAACTAGAACCAGGAACAGGAAACATCGAGGTCCTAAACTCCCAGCCTTAGACCTTGATAATCCTTCAATCGCCCTATTTACGAGTAACCATCGCCGTAACCAATGACGATGTGTCTCGCTGAACTCTTGTCGTAAAAGACCTTCTTGCTGACATCCCTGATGTCATAATTGTGCAATCCACTCCATTTCCTTATAGTCAATCCAACATGCTCATGCCTCTAGCAACTTAACATCTCGAAAGAGAAGCACATGAAACAAAAGGACCAAGTTACTGCTGCCAAAACGAAGGCCACTGCTAAGGTCGTTGAAAAGAAAGCTGTCGAAGTTGAAAAGAAACTAGCAGAGGCACTAACCAACAAGGAGTAGACACCAAGGCCTATCAAGAAGGCCAAGACTCTGTCCAAGATCAATATAAGGAGTAAGTCAACATATCGGATAAAACCATCATCTCAGATATAAGTATTATCTCGAATACCTTCATCTCACCAATTTTTTTTGAAAATTTCACCAAGTATCACTTTCAAATCACCGACTCAGTCTTCATTAACTCATCCCTACTCTCTGCCCCTTAATGTGAATGTAAACACAACTTAGGTTCACGTTAGGAATACATTATCTGAATATTGTCTAAGTCTGACTTAGATATCCATGACCAGAGTCATCGTGTTTAGCTCATCTAAACAGAACACTTAAGGCTTAACCTTAGTGCACCGAGAGTACTACCTACCTCAACTTTTCATACAAACTAGCCAAATCATGGCTAGTTTCGTCATGTTTCTCATTTGAGACATCATTTTAACTTAGTTTAGCTCCGCCTTTCCGACAAGCATAAGTTAAACACACAATTTCTCATTAGAACATCCCTTAGTTTCAGCTCTACTTTCTTGGCAAGCCTAAGATAACTCGCTCAGGGGTCGTTTCCCATTCAAGGGTCATTCCTTTGATTTCATTTCAATGGTCATTCCTTTCGATTTATTCTTAACTTCGGCTAAGGTTATTGACATCATTAGAGCTGAACTCCAAATTTCATCAAGCCACATTCCAAGGCCTCGACAATTCGTCACCGTCAAGATCTCATGTAAGCTTTGTTTGATCTCAACTCTGCTTGCCTTCTGTAAGTTCTGATCTTTTCAAAATTGTTTTCCTAGGTCGAACTCCTTTCATGTTGGATTTGCCAACCTAGGCTGAGGCCTTTTCCTCTTGAATTTGTACACTTAAGTTGAGCTCTTGTCTTTTCGGACCTATTTATCTAGGCTGAGATATTGTCTTCTGAGATCTGGAATCTGCTCACTTAGGCTGAGCTCTTGTTTTCTCGGACCTAGTCATCTAGGCCGATATCTTTTTTTTCTTTTTTTTCTAAGTGTTGGATGTTTGCCTTTCATAACTGCTTTGTGTATGCTTTGCTATCTTCTTTGTCTTGTTTGTTTCCATACTTAGACTTTTCTTTTATCCTTCAAAGTCTGACAACCTGGTTGCTTACCTCGGATCAAAATACCTTGGGTATAGCACTGGTAAATTATCTCGGATTTATCATCTCAGATTTAGCTTAGTGATCAGCTATCTCGAGTAACATATCTCGGATAGTATCTCTATCAATCATCTCGGATAACTTCAACTTATAAACTTTTTCTAAATTTTTTTTACAAGTGTTATACTTATTCATGCTTCCTGCCCTCTAATGTGAACCCAAGTATCACTTATGTTCATATTAAGGATGCATCACCTAATTCTTGCCTAAGTCTAACTTAGACGTCCATGACCGAGGTCATCGCGTTTAGCTCACTCAAACTAAACACTTGACCTCAGTGTATCGAGAGTACTTTCTACCTCGGCTTTTCGCACAAACTGACCAAAACATGACTAGTTTCGCCTTGTTTCACATTGAAATATCGCCTTGTACTTAGTTCAATTCTACCATCACGGCAAGTCTAAATTAATCGCCTTGTTTCACATTTAAGCATCGCCTTGTACTTAGTTCAACTCTACCATTACGGCAAGTCTAAGTTAATCACCTTGTTTCACATTGAAACATCGCATTGTACTTAGTTCAACTTTCCATCACGGTAAGTCTAAGTTAACCGCCTTGTTTCACATTGAAACATTGCCTTGTATTTAGTTCAACTCTACCATCATGACAAGTCTAAGTTAATCGCCTTGTTCACCAAGGGATCATCGCTTTAAGACTTTCTTAGTCCTGGCGTATTTTTCAATCTATGCCATTAGTTCTTTCATATTCTTCGGAAGAGTCTTTGCAAGTGATTACCGGAGTGGGCAATCATCATCCAAGTCGTTCTTAAAAGATATGACTACGAGTTCCTAATTACAAGTCGGAATCCAGTTGTAAACCTCATAGTACATCTTGGCGTAGGCCCTAAGACATTCTCATCGCTGATCTTTAACGCCAATAGCGAGTCTACCCTCAATGGTTGCAATCTGTTTGTAACAAACCTGGCCACAAATATCTCGGCCAGGCCTTCCCAACTCTTCACACATCTTTTCGGCAGTTTGTGGAACCAATCTGATGTTATTTCCCCAAATGACGATGGGAACACCTTGCATAATAGCTACTCATTCTCACTCCACAAAGCCATTGAATTTAAGTATATTCTGACATGAAAGTTTGGGTCAAACTTACCATCATAGATCTGAAATCTCGGCATGCTAAACCTTTGCGATGCTTCGAACGCATCCAACTCCACCGAGAATGGCATCTTTGGCTAGGCGATGGATGTGATCTCGGCATCATGTCTCTTCCTTTGGAGGTAATTTCTCAGGTCCTCCTTTGTTCATCTGAGAGCTCGGTTGTCCTTCGACTTCAACCTTTTCGGTGCGCTGCTTCTTGTGTTAAGGTGCGTTCTCTTAGACTTCTCCACGTCCATTGTATCATCAAAACAGAGGCCCTGCCCTTGGATCTACTGAGATCCCTTGACGTAGGTGCCCTTGGTTCGTGTTGTCCTTTAGGACTCTCTTTGCACTGACTCTATTCGCCCGGCATCTCATAATTGCCAATGTGAATTTCCCTATCCCTTGGCATGTTGTGGAGTAGTTGGTACTGCCTTCTACTCTCTCTTTTGGGCACCAGCCTTAACTGCTGGTGCCTGTGTGTCTTGCAAGGGAAACGTTGGTTGCATCACGTTGTTCTGCATCATGAAATTGACCACTGTCTGCAAGTCTGTCAACTTGTTCGCCATATCCTTCAGTTCCTCATCCTTTCTTAGGCATCTATCATTCCATACCTGGAGATTGACTTCGTGGTAGTACTCATCTTGACTACCCTTCTTGTTCCCATTTTAGCCCTGAGCAACATTGTTTGCCTCACGGTCGACCTCCTGTACTTCTTCGTTTTTGTTCCCTCCTCCAGTATTAGGACCCATTTGTTCCTCCTCCTCACTGTAAATGTCATCCCCGATCCTCACTTTCTGTCTATTGTTGGCTATCTATTCTATACTAAGTTCCCACAGATAGCGCCAAATTATGGGTGTTAAGTTTTAACCACACAACCAAACAAGGAACTTAGCTGGAGAACACGCGAAGCCAACCACTCGTCAACAAGATGAGAATACTGCGGTGGTTCGTTCACCCAGGACACTCCGGCGATCAAATTAGTCAAACAACCTCTCAAAGATACCAAATAAGTACTAAACTCACATAATAAAACGTCTCAAATAAAAGCATACCTTAAACCCATGGAAGTCCCTTACTTTTATAATGATCAGTATCTAACTTTCTTTAGAAGTCTCGCTTTATGAGACTCTATCCTTTACAAGGATAACATCTATCACAACTTACACTATTCAAATTAAGATGAACTTTCTCAAAAGTCTCATCTCTATCCACATAAGTAGTTTGATGTCATCTACGACTCTTGTCCTCTATCCGAATATTTCAGATTTAGATATGATCACATCATATCTCGGCGACTTGGTCCATCCACGTGGCACCTAGACTAACAATCTTGGCCACGTGAACAATCCAGAAAATATGTCCCCACTGATGCCAACAAAGTTCTATATCAAGATAAGTTGTCACAATTGTTGGTTTTTTCTGGTGCTAGCTTTATTTGTTTTTAATTATTTATATCAATATCAAATCCTGACAACAGAACTTCATAGCATGAACAAAGTTGTTTTCATGAGATCGATGAGGGATCTTTTACACCCAAACAGAAAATGTCCCAACCAATGGGTGAATATTGCAAGCAAAGGGGTAACAACTCTACTGATCACAGATAAATTACAATGCTTAAGAACATCAAACACTTAACAGTGAAAACTTTGCCAACATGTCAACATATTTTTGTCAACTAGTATACAGTTAAATGATTACATCCAATTAGACTCTAAAGGGAACATGACTCTTCTAGACTAGCCTAGCAAATCATATCCTCTATTCATCTGTCAGTAAACTAAGGAAACAATATATAACAGCGGAAATATGTAACAGCAGAGAGCAACGGGGAAGCACATTGGAGTTTAATCCGGCCAATTCCCGGCCCTTCCATTTCTGCAATGTATACACAAAGCATGGAAATGGAATGACTGTCATCCCTTCAGTTCAACTTCTTAAATTAAGCCTCGCATTCTGAACTTTTACAGATATCTTTAACTTCTGTTCCTCCATGATCTTCAACACATCTAATAGTTTTGCTCGATATGCTTCACATCGCTGACTTGCGTTTTCTAACTCAGCAGTCAATTTCTGAATTTTCTTGTCCTGATTCCACAAGCAGAAAAAAAAGGGCAAAATTTCACATGCCAAATTAACATAGTCACGGCGTTACATGAATGAATAAATAAAAAGGATAAAACAAGCGTTGTGATTTCTTGCACACCCTTAAAACCCAAATCCACAAGATTTTACATGTTATTGAAGCTTATTTTACACTACCCAAAAAATCATTCATCATCAAACATTGTTCAAGTTTTGATCAATTTCTCTAAGATTGACAAGCAAACAGCTGCTAGTAGCTAGCAACTTGAAATTCTTTTTTGAAATTACCTTCCCAAGAAACTGGCACCTAAAATTAGTTGCATTGATTACGCTTGGTACTACTGTGGTGCAAAATGCCTTTCTAGTTTATGCATTCAAATCATAAAATATAGAGCTGGCATTGACTACATAGTATATTCAGATAAGCAAATATGTATCAGCCACCTGCAGTGGAGACTGGAGAGTAATGCGTGTGCCAGGTATCTCTAGTATGAGCTACTCAGCATGGGGAAAACTAGGTAAAGCCTTTTTCCCCTTCTTTCACTTTGTCACCAAATTTACCCCAACTTCGGTACTTTCTTTAAAAGGTTTTATAGTACAAAAGGTCCCTAAGAGATCAATTTTATTCTTATTTTTCTCTTTTTCCCACACCAAACATAACATTCAGATCAAATGGTAAAAAAACAAACTTTTAAACAAACGATTGGTCTAAAATGAATTTGCAACAGAAAAAGAAGACAATCTCCTAATGGAGTTCATACGGTTGTAGGTTGTCTTGGTCTACAACTTACACAAGCTCTACGTCATATGCTGTGTTTAGAGATGATGCTTAAAAGACATATGCCAAATGTCAGGGGCTTAGTCATCCAAAAGCAAAAACCTGTGTGTTGTAGCTGCAAACTTAAATCACAAGGTTTGCTAGATGCCATTAAGAAAATTTGAGATGCTGGGACATGACCACCGAATGCAGCTACATGGTGACGTTGTATCAATCAGTATTCAGGCAAATATAGTGTCCACTAGTTAGATTAAATTCACTGAAACATGCAATCTCTATAAAGTATTAACAGATTGATGTTGCGTTTCAATAACCCCCTCAAGTTAGAAAAACAGAATTTTCAAAGAGTACAAAAAGAGCCATAGAATTAAAACAAATCTTTTCACTCTCAGAGGGAATTTGTAAACAGGTTCCTTTTTATTGACTTGGCAAAGCCAGGAAATTCCTTGCATAATCGGAACAACTAAATCTTATTTTGAACGTAATTTGAGAGAATTTGGAAAAATGGCATGAGCATAAGGACATGGTTATTGAAGGTAGAGTGTGCATTCTTATGTGAGAGCTGTTAATGGGGTATACATAGGCAGGGATAGGCTCCCAGCGTATCACTAAAAGTTGGGATCTTATGATAAATTTAGAGGGTTTAGATTTCTCAACAGGAATCAAGAAAACTAAGTGGATCAGGTTGGAACCAAAAATAAATGAATTGTAGCCCCAAAAAAAGGAGTTCATGAGCCAATTAACAATTTAGGCCTACTTCTCTAGGTCATCTTAAAAAAATCATATAAAGAATACAATCAATTAAAAAACCATCACTCATGTTCCTGTACTTGGTTTACCAGTATTTGTGCACATCTATCCGTGTATACATGAATTTCTACTCCTTTTTTGCTCAAAAACACTATCTACAAAGTTGTGCTGCAGATATCAGGGATCCATTAGTCACCTGAGTTGAAACTTTGCGACAGATGTTTGAAGCTCAATGATGGCAAATCCCGCCAAGGTTCTACCAAAGAGCTTTTTTCTAGCCTCAGTTCTTTTCTTTTCCCAGTAATGCCAGCATGGTGAATGCTGATAACTTGCCAGGAGGCTGAACAGAGTGTAGAGAGCACTGACACGTTACATGCAAGGAAATCCTGGTACTAGAAAAATAGGGATAGGCAGGGAAACTACTACTTTTAAATAATATAGTTTCTTTAACTCATTAATATTATAACCATCAGTCACTAACAAGGAACAACCAGTGTAGCACGAACCCTCTATCTCTCTCTCATTATTATTTTGACTATTATTAAAAGAATGTATGTGTCCGTCACAGGCTATATGGACTCTTCTTTTCTCCCCAACATACCAGTGTGAAAGCTGATATTTTTCCATTCATAGCACATTAAGTTTAACAAAAAAAGAAAAAAGCCCAATTCAGAGAAGAAAAAATGTTATTGAAAATGTTCAATGAGGAAGAATAGCAAGAACTGCAACATAAATTTTAGAAACATGACAAAATAATGATAGTAGAGGCAATGCCAAATTTAAATCTGTAACGAGAAAAGAACTGACCATTGAAGAAGACTGAAGCTGACCAATTTGATTTTCACTTATGTTCACTTCCTGATCAATTTCTTTGGCCAGACTGCTTTGTATGACACCCGGACCATTCTTCTTTGCAGAAGCAACCTTCTTTGCAGCCTCACGTAGAGCTTCCATTGCCACATTATACACATTTATTGATTCTGCCCCTTCTTCTACATATTTGATAGCTTCACGACATAAATTGTCATGGCGAGCAGCAGATGACTCTTGACTATTACAAGGCAATACAAGCATGTGATCATCCAATACTAACCCACTTTTGGCACTTCTTGTCCATCGTTGCAAGATATAATGTGATGGAAGCGTAAGAACATTTGTAACCCTGAAAACTGCTAATATGTGCCTACAAAGAATACCTGAAAACTCAAACATTTGACAGCTACATGTAGCTTTCTTTTCAAAAACATTGAACCTAATAAATTGTGCCTTGTGGTCTTCCCCAAATTTTGCCACCCGATACATAATTTCAGATCCTTTATCATCGATTACAGTTGCAGGATTAGCAAGAGTCTCAACTAATTCTTCTTGAAATTTCATGAATATCTTTCTTGTATATAGATTAGCTGCTTGCTTTTCCATAGGAGAAGGCGTTTTTAGGACTGGTGCTGTGTTTATTGTGTCATAATCCGCTTTTACTTCCTTCTCAAACCGACTGCCCATGGCTTTCTCATACTGCTTAATTAGCACATGAATATTTGTTGATGCATTTATATATCCATCAAAGAATGAGTTTACACTATCACTTGATTGGGTTATAGACATCTCACCAAAGAATGTATCCCGGAGATAAACCGGTACCCACTGCTGTCTAGAATTGTACATCGACTGAAGCCATTCATTATCTCCAAGGTGGTATCTTTCAACGAGGGACTCCCAACATGATTCAAACTCCTCTAGTGTCTCAGTCACATCGATGCACCTCTGAAATTCAGCTTCAAAAGAGGGGTACGCATGATATGCATGGGACAATTTCTCCTGGGCTTCTCTAAATATGTTCCATTTACAAAAACGGTGGCGGGTTCCCGGAAACACTTGTGCAACAGCAGAACGTATGATCCTGTCCTGGTCTGTTGTGATAGAGTTAGGATGGCGACCAGACATCGCTGCGAGCCAAGTTTGGAAAAGCCAAACAAAGGAGGACTCTGACTCGTTCAGCAGCAACGCACAGCCAAACAATACAGGTTGTCCGTGATGGTTTAATCCTGTAAATGGGGCGAAGGGGACCCGATAGCGGTTAGTTCTATATGTTGTATCAAATGTGACAGTGTCCCCAAAATAGTTATAACTCATTCTAGAGTTTGCATCAGCCCATAAAATGTTTCCCGAGGTGTTCTCAAAATCACCTTGAACGGCGCAAAAGAAGCCAGGATCTTCAGCCTGCATTCGCTTCAAATAGTCAAAAACATGCTGACCCCCACTCCCAAGGGTCCTCTGTCTGCTGCTGCTCATGTAATTCTGGCAATCAACTTTTGTAAAACCAACATTGTTAATACCACCCGATTCCCTAATCAAGACAGACATAACCCCACTAGGGCCCATCCCTGCAGCTTGAAGGGTATCAATCAAGCTGCGAGCAGGGCCGGAGACATGCCTATGGGAGCGGAGGCAGTGTACTTTGTCAGGGGGAACAAGCTCATGGTTATGTTCCTTGACGAGTTTGGTGACAGCCCATTTCCCAGAAAGTTGTTTCTTAACAGTGATATGAGCCTTGCAACCAACCCTAGTGATGGTCCGCTGGCGCTTGGATTTGTTTTCACCACCCTCTCGACGAAAACCCTCCCGGGAGCAGACAATCTGGCGGCAAATGATGGAGCCATCGCGACGAGAGCGCTGGTACACACTGACTCGAGTACTAAAACCCACACGACGCGCATAAGAGTTGTAGAAAATTCGAGAAGCTTGTTCAGAATCGAACTCCAACCCCTCAAAAGGTTCGAGTTCCGCATTGGAAAACAAGAAATTGTGAGCCACGGAAGAGTGATCGACCATATCATCATTGTAATCGTCATAGTCGTCTTCATCTTCTTCTTCATCTGCATCTTCTTCATCTTCTTCTTCACCAGAACCCATGTCGAATTCGATCACCTCATTTTCAATGTTTATTGGTTCGAATTCCATACCGTGGTTAGATTTTTATATATCTTTAATAAATATTTTTGAAGTCTTATAAGAGCATTGATAGAATCGGAAAGAGAGGGAAAGGAGAAAGAAGAATGACTGACCGGAGATTAGGGCTGTGAGTGAGGACACAATGATGTTGTTGGACCTTGAGTAGGCAAGCTGCACTGGTGGTGGAGAATAACCACCATGAGAGAGCGAGAGAGAGGGAGAGAGAGACACTCTCCCAGGGTTTAAGGTGCTGCGTAGTGGGTTAAGGGTAGGGTGAGTGGAGCAAATTTGGAGGATTTTCAGAGTTGGGATTTTGGTGGATTTATTAGATTAGATAGATAGAGAGACAGAGAGAGAGAGAGAGAGAGAGAGGGTTTTGTCGTGTTTATCAATGGAGAAACATCGATCCTCTCTGGACTCTGGAGTAGTACTCATTTGGTGCTACGCGAAACAGGATAACACTTTGTGATGATGATGATGACGCATTATCACATGATACATGATACCACCAAGGATCCTCTAGAGTGAAATTTTCCTAAAGTTTCCTAGAGTGCTACATTGTGTGGTTGAGATTTACTGACAAGTCACATCAGAAAAATTGATGTGACTTGCCAGTAAATCTCAACCACACAGTGTAGCACTCTAGGAAACTTTAGAGAAAAATCACTCTAGAGGATCCTTGCTCACATGATACTCCCTTCGTAGGGCTGCTCTGCTGGACACTGGCCCAAAAACCCGCCAAGCCAGCTCCACCCAGAACATGGGCCTAGAATCGCATGTTGGCCCGAAGGCTCTTGCCACCGGGAGAAGTTTTGTAAGCCCAATTCAAATTACTTTGGTTTGGGAACTGAGATGGCTTTTTGATTTTTTGGTTTTTTTAGCTATTTTAGTCTGGGCTTAAAAGTTTGGTTTGGGAAGGGCTTTTTGACTTTTTGACTTTTTTGAGTTTTTTTGTGAGAGAAGAATGTAATAATTATGGGTTGGATGTGATGTTTTGTTTGTTATGGCTAAAATAACCTATTTTGTTTTTTGTGGTTAAAATAGCCAAAAAAGCCTGCAAATCCACTTGCCAAACACAGGCTTAGAAAGTGATTGAAGTCTGGCCCAAAATAAATTAATAAGACGTCATGTACTTATCTACTTTTTATAGAGTAACGTTAATTCTACAGAGTTTTTAACACAAAGGTAACGAGACTGGTAAAAATAGAGTAAGAAATATATTCATGTATAATTTTTTTTGTTTGGTTGTTTATGTAGAAACAAATATTAATCATATATATATATATATTTATTTGTATGTGTCAATTTCTGACCACACTGCCAATCAAGCACTCAGTTGGAAAATACTAACATAATAGATTAAGCCCGAACGACCTGTCACAAAAAGAAGAGATTCCGACGGTGGTTCGTTCACCCGGGGGCACTTCGACAATCAAGTCAGTTATCTCTCAAAGATAGCAAAAGTGCTTAGCTCATTATTCAGAATATAAAAAGCATACCTTAGACCCATGAGGGTGCCTCTCTTTTATAGCCAACACAAACCTAGTGCCAATAGAAGCTTAGCTTCAATGAACTTAGGATTACTACTAATCTTGGACTCCCAGTAGGATTGGGATAAACTCTCTAAGAGTCTTATCTTTATCCAAAATGAAGTCCTCTCCTATTCTAGGACTCTTGTCTCTTATCCGTTTATCCCGGATTCCGGTTTCTTCGTAAATAACCTTGGCCTAGCCGAGATAATCTCGGCGTCATGACCAAGACACGTGACACCTCGGCTAGCACTCTGGTGACACCTCGGCCACGTGTCGTCATTCAAAAATTATGTCCCCACAACTGCCTCCTAAGTTCTATTACCTTGGCATCTTGAGGTGATGGAACCTATATCATTTCTTTTATATAACACATCGGCTAAGTTCGCTTTATCCTTTATTACCGAGGTCATCATTCGTCAGCTTAAATATGACCAAGACTTTCTGTTTTCATTAATTCCTCAGAACCATTAACCAGGTTTGTTCAAGTTGCTCAGCCGAGATCATCCTCAAAGCCGAGGTACTGCTCCATTAAATCAAGAAACTCCAAGAACTTCCTCACGCGTATGAGCTGTCACGCACAATAACTCAACTGTTCTTGCCACGTGTCTTTCCCCTTCTGGGCCGTACCTGACACGCGCCATTAAGTCGCATCGTTTTTGCGCGCGCCGTCTAACACGTACGTCGTCTTAGGCACGTTAATTGCCTTTTTGTCGCCGTTTCGTGTTTTGACAAAACTTCTTCCCTCTCTCTTCGTTGCTTCACTTTTGCATCTTCATTCTCGTGCAAAACCTCTCTCTTTCCTCTCCCAGATTCGCCATTGTTCCAAGCTCTTCAAGCTCTGCAACTTCTTCCAGCCTTCCCTTCCGACGAAGCTTTTGCTGATCTTTTTCGACTGCTATCACTATCTGACTCCGGCGTACGCAACACTGACTTCATTTTTCTTCGGTGAGTCACTATTTCTTCCCCATTTAACTTCTTTTTCCAATCTCTTGTTTTTCTTTAACTAACTCCTCTGTTTTTGTCATGACCCAAACTCGCCCCTGTAGGTTTAGCACCGTAATCGGCCAGCAATCCGTGGATTACCAAAGGCCTCTGAATAGATTAGCAAATAATAAGGGGCTGCGGAAGCAATAATACAAGATAAACAAGGTCCAATGAGCTATGATAACGTACATGGGACAAAACATTTCAAAACTTATTTATATATACATAAACATGCTAGTCCAGATACACAATATTTACAAGGTATTTACAGAATGTTCTTTCCAAGACCTGACTTTACAGAGCATACACAAAGACTAGCATGATTACAAAAACAACCATGGCTTTAGGATTCTTTCGGAACCTCCTCGGGAGGCACAACAGTTGGCTGACAAAAACAAAACAGAAGGCCGTCAACTTTGGCCCTAGTCACATGCCAGCTCACCTACATACATAATATAAACTGTGAGCGAAGCCCAGTGAATAATAATAGAGTAAAGGGTTACAATGAATGAGTTCGTACAGATTCATAAATCATAATTCAGATTTGTATCAAATTCATCATTTGTCCAGATCATACACAGACAGAAATCATAAGTCATGATTAAGTTTACGTAATACATCCATTAGCATTAATAGAACAGAACAGAACAGAACGTATACACGTGAGGTTACGAATAACCAGTTCCATAAAGGAACCTCCGGATCCGGGTAACAGAACAGAAGCTGAGCCCCTATGACAGGGCCTCCGGTACGGGTAACAGAGTGCAGACAGAAAAAAGTTCCATAAAGGAATCTTCGATACTGGGTAGCAGCTAACAGATATCACATGATGCTAAGGATGTCACGAATACATATCAGAAATAGAACAATCATTCATTGTACAGAACATATCATTTCGAAAAATAGATCTTGTTTTATCACACAGAAAGTAGATACAGTTTGAACATAACTTTACTAAATTATTACTCACAGTTGGCCTTGAAACAGACAGACGGAGCAGATTGATCACACGATACGCGGCACGTGACCTACATAACACATAAAGGACACACACTTGAAACACACATTCTAATTGCACAAAACTTACGTCGTTGGTTCTTAGTGTGTTTCTAACCTTAAATCCTCACTAAAGAGTCTTAAACATGGCCTAGGAATGTCTAGGATGGAATGAGGATGCAAAGATGTCTTGAAAAACATTTTTTCAAAACTTGTTGAAAACAGGGGTCTCGCTCGAGCGTAGCTTCTTTTGGTCGAGCGAGCTTGTCAAAACAGAGGGGTCGCTCGAGCATAGACTCCTTCGCTCGAGTGGTCTGTAAAAATGTAAAAGTACTGGTTGTTGAAATTTTACGCCCGATACCCGCTCGATGCTCGCTCGAGCGTACAACACAGCTCTTCGTTTGAGCGTAGGTCTCGTCGCTTGAGCGTATGTCTGCGTGCACCAAAAACCTGAGAGCTTGCAATTTACGCTCAAGCCACCATTCCTTCGCTCGAGCGAAGCTCTGAACAAACGATGGTCGCTCGAGCGAGGAAGCCAAATTCTGGAATTTCCAGATTTGCCTCCCAAGCTCAAACCAAGCATTCAACACCTCAAAATTCGACCTTTTGGGCCCATTTTCTAGAAAACACTTGTAAACTTATAGTATAAGATGTTTCAAAGATCATTTGTAAAATCAAGCCCAAAGGTGAGTCAATTAAACATAATTTCAAATAAAACTTCAAGAACAAATTTAAATGTAACATCCATGAATTCTCATGACTTCTAATGCTCCAAAACATGATCCAAAGAAAGATTAAGCTCAAGAATAGGATGAATTCATGGACTATAACAAAAATATGGACATGCATGTGAGGATTCTATGAGAACAACCTCACAATTCAAGAATGTAGACATGCATGCATGATTTCACTCTCAAATCCATCTCTTAAAACCAATTCTAGACTTAAACTCTAATCTTCCATGAACCATGCAAGAATTAATCTTAAATTCACAATTGAAAGGGATATCTCCTACCTTAAACCTTGAATTCCAAGTCTAGGAGCTCAAATTTGCAAAGCCTCTTCAATTCTCCTAAGTTCCAAGCCAAATCTTGATGAACTCTATTTTCTCCTAACTCTCTCTCTCTCTCTCTCTCTCTCTCTCTCTCTCTCTATTCGGTTTGGTCACAAGGAGATGAGCAAAGATGCATCCAATATGTAATAAAGCAAAATAAAGGTTGTCTAGACTGAAGCCACTAAGTGGCAAACTTGTAATAACTCAAACAAGTGTAAATTAACATGATTTAATCTAATTTAATCGTTCCGAACCGAATTTTAATTAAACCTACCATAAAATTCTATAAATCCTAACTAGCACATAAATCAAGTCAATTTCTGATTCGAGCACCGATAACGCTTCCAATTCGCAAACCGAAACTAAAACGTGAACATATCATTTTATGGCAAACAGATAAAAACACAAAGATAATGTAATACATATGCAATTTAATTCCGGATTCCTTCTAAATTACTGTTAGGAATAAATAATCATGGTTTCGTATTAATCGAAGGTCGGGGTTATTATAGTTTTACTTGTTGCCTTTGCATTTCCTATTCATGTCTTTGATCGTTTAACTTGTATCTTGAATTCCACCATGTATTTGAACATGTTTGTTTTATGATTCTGTTTTTGCCCAATCCATTCTTGAATGTACACACACACTGCTCACAAACTTGTTGATTTTTGCCACTGTTCTTGGCTTCGTACCTTTGTACACACTCTGTCACAGTGTTCTTGATAGAGTATCACCATTCTTGATTCTGAATCTTTGTTTTTGTTTCTTTTTTCTGTGTTTTCTCCAGATTCTTGCCCTCAA